TTTCACCAATATATATATATATATCGTCACAAATAGAACTGCCCGGTAAACCGTAGGCAGAGAGAGAGAAGAGGACAACAAACGAGGGGCTGTGACAAACTGTTTCGTCGGAGTTTCACCGACTCATATATATATTGTCACATGATATCAGAGAGCCAAAGCGAAAAATGAAAGAAAACAAGGAAACAAAAAAAACTTAATTCATTTTTAATCTTCTGCCTTACAACTATGATGGGGTGTGAACCGACAGTCTGTAGAGTTTTCCATCTGATGTGGGTGAGTGATAGTCTACTTTGATTTTGGTTAAGGTAGATTATCATTTACAGTGTAATCAGTGAGGGGATTCTGCAGACTGTTGAGGGTTCAGCCTCCTGATGAATCGGTGAAACTCCGACGAAACAGTTTGTCACCGCCCCTCGTTTGCTGTCCTCTTCTCTCTCTCTGCCTACGGTTTACCGGGCAGTTCTGTTTGTGACGATATATATCATCACAAATTTATCAGAGTGCAAATGCAAAAAAAAGAAGAAATAAATTCATTTTTTATCTTCTTCCTTACAACCCCCCCCCTGTTCAAAACCTCTTGCGTACAAGGCCGCCCACGTGGATGTAGGTTGAGCGGCGGCTGCCCCCACCCCCGTGTGTCATATCGACCCACTTGCACACAGCCAAAAGGCGAAGAGGCAAAGAAAAGAGGAAGGGAACAGCCAAACATTACAGAACAGGGGGCAAGCGAATCCTAGATGACAAGTCCCACATGCAGACGCCGCCCCCGACAGCACAGGCCAAACGACGGGACAAACCAGCCAGGATTCAAGACACGGGAACTGTGAGATGGTTGAACGATATATATACTGTCACAAATTTATCAGATCGCAAATGCGAAAAAAAGAAGAAATAAATTCATTTTTTATCTTCTTCCTTACAAGTATATATTATTACATGATAAGCGCACGCGCACACACACACACACACACACACACACACACACACACACGCACACACGCAGACACACACACGCACACACGCACGCGCGCGCACACACACACACATGCATACATACCTTCTGCAACTCCTGAGAGAATTTTGCAGGTGTCTGACTCCTTCCTCGGAGTGGTAATGCGGCTCTGACCAGGTCTCCTGCAAGCGGGAGCAGGAAAAACAAAAATGAAAAAAGTAGTTGAAAAAAGGTCATTGAGAAAGAAAAAAAAAACACTTCCCATATCCAAGGTGACACGAGTAGGTCCCATAAATTTTAATTTCGAATGTACACAGTACTACACACCCTTTCAGATGTTTTTTTTTTTTTTTTTTTTGGAGGATTCAGATGTGATTTCAAGCTCAACGTGTTTCATATTCTCACTCCTTCAGTTCATAGCTCTGACATAATACAGAGTAAAAGGTGTGTACATTTGAAGTGAAAAAATAAATACACACGTTGCATGCACGCATGCATGCATGCATGTTGCACGCACACATGCACACCCGTTCCATGCACGCATGCATACACGCTGCATACACACACTGTCACAAACGCACAAAAATACATAAATAAAATAAATATAAGCCTTGGTCTAGTTAGGCTAGGTCTAGGTAACCAGCTATAGGGGCTCTACCTACGACAGTTAAAAGTAACACAGTTAAAAGTGTAGTCTCCATGGTTAGGTGTCCCCGAAAATGTGGATCCTCTAAGTCATCCCCCCACTGGTTGAACATGCAAATCAGACACTTCCCGAGGCATAGAGCCCAGCCGCTACTACCACATGGATCTTTAAAAAAAA